AACTTAATGATTATCCTAATTATATTTTAGATTTTTTATATTTAAAATGAGATGTTTATCCTGTATTTGATTGTGTTTATTTGCAGTTAGTTACACGAATTCAGATATTGGATGAAATCGGATAGGAATGAACGGGTTTAAGAGTTTAAGAGTTTTAGTCAAATGTTTTATAATATAGTATAGATATGGAGGTTCAAACGAGAACCCCTGTGATTTACGAGAATGTGAGAACAACTTAATAACCTCAAACTTTTTTAATTAATAAATTAACTTATATTAAATATAAATAAATTAATAAGGGCAGTAATATAATTAAGTAATTTTTATAATTATTATTTTATTTTAATTAGTCATAATTATCCCTTTTTTTTCTGCACGTTCGTTTCCACTCTCTTCTCTCCCTTTGTGATAATTGTGTGATTGGGTAACCATAACATATCGAAACCATGATCAATCAAGTGTAACCATAACCTATCAAAACCATGAGTAATCGTTATGATAAATGTGTGATTGTCTAACCCTAACCGATCGAAACCATGATCAAATTGAGTGTGCAAGTGATGTAATAATAGTGATATCACATGATTATCACACACATATTACACCAAATCGTTTAGTGGATTTCTCCCGTAATCGTTGTGATAAATGTGTGATTGTCTAATCCTAACCTATCGAAACCATGAGTAATCATTGTGATAAATGTGTGATTGTCTAACCCTAACTGATCGAAACCATGATCAAATCGAGTGCGCAAGTGATGTTATAATAGTGATATCACATGATTATCACACCCATATCACACCAAATCGGTAGTCGATAATCTAAGTTAACCCTAGCCGATCGGAATCCTTGTGATAATTGTGTGATAATCACATGATTATCACACCCAAATCACACCAAATCGTGTTGATATAAGCGATAATGTGATAATTGTGTGATAATCACATGATTATCACACCCATATCACACCAAATCGTGTTGATATAAGCGATAATATGATAATTGTGTGATAATCACATGATTATCACACCCATATCACATGATAATCACATGATTAACCGTTTATTAGATAATGATAATCATGATCGTGTAATCGTGTTAAAAGATTTTATGATATCATTTCCATTATTATCTTTTTAATTTTAATATTTTTTTGAATCTTTTTAAATTTCAATTTTAATTTTAAAAATCTTTTAATTTTATTTTTTATCACAATATATTTAAACCCTTCCCTCTATATATATATATATATATATACCCGTTTTCACTTCTCCCAAATAAACCCATTTGATTTTCATTTACGAAATGAGGAAACCCCATTTTCTTGGTCTACTCGTGATTTCAATAGTATCCACTGTTCTATCGCATTTTCATGGAGGATTAGCCATGGCTGCTCCTGCTACTGGCACCCAAGATGGTTCAGAACGTTGGGGTTATACTCAAGTCAGACCCGGTAAGAACCATCTTTTTTCTAATACTCTTCTAAATTTGCTTTTCTTTTTCATTTCTTAATAGGGATTAGAGAACGCAAGACAAACCATTTTTAAGAATGGATTTTTTCTAGCTGATTCTAATATTCTAGAAAAATTGAACAGGAGCTCATATGTTTTGGTGGTACTATAAAAGTCCTTTCCGAACGCAGAATCCAAACAAACCATGGCCAATTATTCTTTGGTTACAAGGTGGACCTGTAAGCCTTTCTCTATCCACTTACTTTAACTAAAAACACACAGTATTCTATATAAGTTGCTGAATTAGATGTTGCTATTCATTGTTGTTTGTGTGTTGTGGGTGATGAAATGCAGGGTGCATCAGGAGTTGGAATTGGAAATTTTGAAGAGATAGGGCCATTGGACACTTCATTGAACCCCAGAAACTCTACATGGCTTAGAAAGGCAGATCTTTTATTTGTGGTACGATGATTCTTTAATTATTTATCTCTAAATTTCTTGAATTTTGTTCAGTAATCTCTTTTCTGTGATGTTAGGATAATCCGGTTGGGACTGGATACAGTTTTGTGGAGAACAACACGTTATTGGTGAACACTGATGACGAAGCTGCAAGGGATTTAACTAGATTGTTGATTGCAATTTTCAATAGAAATAAGACCCTACAAAAAAGCCCTCTCTATATCGTGGCTGAGTCTTATGGAGGAAAATATGCAGTCACTCTTGGATTGTCAGCTCTCAAAGCCATTAAAGCTGGAAAATTGAAGCTCATACTTGGAGGTGTACATATATACATACGTTTTTCTCAATCTTAATGAAAAAGACATGCATTATATTTGACTGAAACTTTTCATGCAGGAATCGTGTTGGGAGATAGTTGGATCTCACCAGAAGATTTTGTGGTTAGTGAAGTGGATTCTTTTGCTTTTAAATCACGACTTATTTCAAGCTAAAACACTTGAAAGATAAAGCTTTTGCAATTGAAACCATTAATTAGGCTTCATGGGGTCCTCTTCTCAAAGATCTTTCAAGGATAAACAACAGTGGCCTGAAGATATCAAACAGGTTCGTTTTTGCTTCTCACTTCCCTTAATTAAATTCATCAACTATGTGAATCTTGGTGTTGTGTGTGTGTCTTTGAAGTTGATGGTTGGACTAGGGTTTCCGTAATCTGACAAACCCATTTCAGAAAACAGTTTAGTTGAAGAAATAAAGCAGCATATAGCAAATGGCGAAATGATGGAGGCCACTAAAACATGGAGTTTTCTTGAACGAGTGATCATCTATACCAGTAACGATGTTGTATGCTTCTTTTCGTTCTTTATATTTGCTTCTATTTTATTTTTATTCAAGCGAAAATAAGTGTGTTCATTTTGTCATAGGATTTCTACAACTTCTTGTTGGATACTGGGAGCATTCATGAGCCGATGATCGCAACCGAACAATTCAGAAAATTCTCCAACAAGAGATACTCGAGATATCTTGATTCTTTGAGGGTTTCTGCAGGTGCAAAGGAGGGTGATCTACACACATTAATGAATGACGTCATCAGAAAGAAATTAGGGATTATCCCCAAAGATGTGGAGTGAGTCTTGGCCCCTTTTTGCTATTTCTTATGAAAAAAACTTTTGACTTGAATTTGGGCTCCTTGCCATTGGTTTTTCATTTTTGCTAGCTAAAGTCTCCACATGGTCACTTCGAATTTTTCTTGGTTGTTCTCTTTAGGGCCCTATGGATTCGTCCAAGTGTGCGCAAACTGGATTGGACCCCCTTGGTTAACAAAAAAATGAGTTTTGACTTGAGTTTGGTTTTTGTAGATGGACAGATGTGTCGGACCTTGTTTTCGAGTACTCAAATGTTGATTTCATGAGACCAAGGATCGACGAGGTGGGTTTTGTAAGGATCAATGACAAGATTATTAATTTGGGACAAGGTTTCGCTTGACATCATTTTTATTTTTCATTTACAGGTCGATATACTCTTGAACGCAGGAGTCAACATCACCATATATAATGGTCAAGTAAGATGCCCCCCCTATGCTATGCGTAGATGATACAATTTTTATACAGATTGAGAATCATATGATTTCAGCTGTTAATTATGGTTTGTTGGCTTGTAGCTTGATCTCATATGTTCAACAAAAGGAACTGAAGCATGGGTTGAGAAGCTCAAGTAAGTTAACTTCTTTTCTTTATCTCTTTGGAGATAGAGTTTTGATCAATGTTAATTTACTAAATTGCCCTTATCCAATGTGTATTCATTTGTGGCTAAAGGTGGCAAGGGCTAAAAACATTTTTGAAGATGGACAGAAGTCCACTTTACTGTGCAAATGATAAAACAACAAAAGGATTCTTCAAATCTTACAAAAACTTGCAATTCTATTGGATTCTCAACTCCGGTCATTTCGTAAGTTTTACTCTCGTATCTATCTAAGTTATATGTGCGGATTTATACGTTTTTGTAATCTATGAAAATCTGAACTTCAGTTTATTGATTATTTTTATTTTTACGTTCAGGTGCCGGTGGATCAACCATGTATATCGTTAGACATGGTGGGTAACATCACTCAGTCCCCCGTGACCAGTTGACAACCATATGAACGATGATAGAAGGAAGGAAGAAACGGAGACGAGTAACTCAAAGGAGAATGCATGAGAGAGAGTATTTTGGAGTGAAAAATAACAGATACATGTGTACTTGATAAAACAATTTGTTCGGAAATTGAAGTTATGAACAAAAATGAAATTTGAATAACATACTATTAAAGTTCATTAAATAAAAACGCATCGATCTATGTCAAATTTCAAATATAGTTTTCGGAAAATATTTGTAAGGTGCTTACCCTCTATAAGAACATGGGATAACTCGACTCCGCATTGTTCGCAAAATTTCGGGGATATATGGAACAAAGGAGTATCCCGGACCTACACTGAGGACGTGAGCTCTTAGGGAAGATCAGCATGTTATCTCTGATACAGGAGCGAAACAATCAACCTATTGATATTGAAAGAACAAGAATTTAAAACTATATATCTGATCTCTACATACATATAATTGTATATTATTTATTTGTATCTGCTTAGTTTTATTTTATTCTTAAGAACCATTGTTTATTTGTCTTCCGAGAATTCTTTATGTAATGTTCGATTTGCAAAATATTTTTCAAGAAAAAAATATGTATTTTAGAATAAGATTACAATATTTATTAGAATAAATCATATACACGATAATTACTATATTTATGAACTTATAATTTATTTTGAGATTGAACAGAACAATATTATTTGTAGTTCAAAATGATTTATTTTTACCATTGTCCATTAAATGTTCCATTATACCCGCTATTTTAATGGATATGTTATGAATATAAATTAGAGTTGTAGGACATAGATAATTACTCATTTTGTTACCTGCTATTTAAATGAATAAAGTAACGAAATAACTCTTATCTAATTCATACTCTACTTGTTGTCAACCTTACGTACTTATATTAAAAATCCTTTTTGACCCAACTTTTAGCAAAAAAGTAAGATTACGTGAAGAAAAGAACCGAGGAAAAGTTCACTTTGCAAAAATAGGGGCTTTTCGAAGAGGTTTTTCATGTTGTGTTTTTTTCTTTTTTTTTTTATATTGGTGCATCACGAAAAAGATTTATTCTTTGAGTAAAACCATGAAAAAAATAAATATTTTAAAACAATTTTTTTGGATTTATATATGAAGTTAAAGCTGTAAGTTGACCCTACGCTCATAGTTATCTCTAATTTCTCTTTTCATGTTTTCCGGTAAATGCATTCTTATCCATTAAATTCCTGAATATCTACAATCGTATAATCTTATTTACTTTAAGTTTTTTTTTTTCCGTCGTATCATTACCATCTTAAAAAATAAGAACCTTAATAGAACTTTATAAAAGTTTTTATAGAAACTTCATTTTCCATTTTTAAAATTTTATCTGTAGATTATTATATAAATTTAATATATATATATATATATATATATAATTACAAAAATCAAATATAATTTATTAATTTTCATTTTTCTATATTAATTTTAATTTGTTAATGATATACTTTGAAAACATATTTGAGAAACGATTAAAATATAAACATAATTTTATACTACAATTAAAAAAAAGTGTAAAATTACATAAATTTTAATCCTTATAAAAAGTAACACTAATAAAAAATAAAAAAAATCGCTCATAAGTTCGATTCGACTAAATATGTTCAACCAAGTTGGAGTTGAGTTTGATGATGAACTTCATTTGAGCTTATATCATAACTTTGTTGAAAATGTTCTTAGAATTATTATTTTTTTGTAAGGGTGTCCGGGCCAAAGCCCAACTAATCACCGGCAATTTTGGAGGCTAAACATGGCCCCACTTAAATGTCGCCAACACTCCCCTTCCAGGGCTCGAACTTGGATTCATGACTATGTCATGCCCAAGCCTTTACCACTTAAATGTTCTTAGAATTCATGGGTATAAGCTTGAAATATTTGTGTTGAATTATCTACTTCTTCAATAAAATAATATAATAACATAATCAAATAATTTAAAACTAAACCTATTAATACAAGAACTTATATAAAAATGGTCTACAAGAAACGAATAATAAACAAAATTTAAAAAATTATTTTATAATAATTAATTTATAATTTTTGCATCAATTTGAACTTATATGTTTTATAGTTTTGTTAAAATAAAATAGTTAATAAATAATAAATAAAATAACAACAAAAAAAGAATAAAGATGTATACAAGAACATAAACACCTAAGTTCTAAGAAGAACTTGTGAGTGGACAAGAACCTCTGTCCCACAATAGATATTTTTATTAAAGATTCAAAAAGAACCTTAACAGAAACTGCAATGTGGATTTATCCGACTTAACGATTAAGACTTAGGGGCCGTTTATCAAACACTTACCCGGTAAGTGCTTACTGGTAAAACTTAACACTATTATGTACTTACTGGATAAGATTTTAGTCCACCAAAACGACACTGTATACAATAATTTACCCGGTAAGTGCTTACCATGGTAAGAGTCTGTCGCCCTCACTTACTGGGTAAGACTTATGATCCTTGTCTCCCTCTTACCAGGTAAGATTCTTGGCCCTTACTGTATTCATCCGGTGAGATAGTATTACTTGGTAAGCACTTACCCGAATAAGCGTTTGGTAAACAGCCCCTTACTTTCTATATTCTAAATACACAATTTAACTTGATTATGATATAAAAAGAATTGCCTTAATCATTCCATATATACACCCGTTTTCACTTCTCCCAAATAAACCCATTAATTACTTTTTTTTACTCCTAATTTCAGCAGTATTCATTGTTCTTTTGCATTTGCATGGAGCATTCATGAACCGGTGACAGCAACTGAACAATGGAGAAAATTGGCCAACAAGAGATATCTTAGGTTTTCTGCAGGTGCAAAGGAGGGTGATCTACACACATTGATGAATCGTGTCATCAAAAAAGAAATTAGGGTTAGGTGGTGTGTGTGTGTGTGTGTGTATGTCATTGGACTTGGACATGGTGGGTAACATCAGCAGGTCGCCCATGACAACCATATAAAGGATGATAGAAGGATAGAAGGAAAGAAGAAACCAAGAATGACAACTTAAAAGAAGAATGTCATGGAGTGTGAAGAAAAAGTATAACGAATATGTGTTCTAAGTTAAAATTTAAAGTAAATTATGGATTTGTTACTTATGGTTTTAATTTTGTCTTGGATTTAGTTCTTAGAGTTTTTTTAATTCCAAATTAGCCTCTAGAGTTTGCATTTTCGGAACGTTTCGGTCCTTGCAACTAACGAATATTAACTGAATCCGTTAGGAGAGGGGCATTTTGGTCCTTTCTCAACAAACAATAGGCTCTCAAGTACACAATTGGCTCAAGTTTGAATTCTAAGAGACTCGGACTTGAGCCTATTCGCTAGCCTCAACCGTTTAGTCAAATCTAAGATGTTTTCTCATATGTGGTTTCTAGGGGTACGTTCCATATATATGAATCAACATTTTGCTCAAATCTTCTTTAATTTGGTCATTTCTAAAAAAACATTTAATAATTTTAATTAGGGTTAATCGTTAAAAATAGTCATTCGGTGGGTTAAACATAAAATAACCATTTTTTTCAGGTTTTACATAAAATAACCACAAAGAATCTTGCCTCATTTTCGAAATCGCTAGCCATTGTAGGTAAATCTTGTTCGGTTTATGAACTAATCAGTCATTGCAGGAAAATCTTAACCATTGATATTATGGTAATGTCCGTCTTACCATGTATAATCATTGAGTATACTTTGTAATTCTTTTAGCTCTTGCAACCCTTTTCGAGATTCTTGTTCTCCATTTTTTTAACGGGTATTGACTACTATTTTACATAAAATCCAATTTTTTGACTATTTTGTGTTCAATCTTATCCGTAATCAAAATAGCCTCAAAATGCATCCGGATCTCCTACGGGAATGATTTGGAAGAGCCAAAACCAAAAATAGTGGTATTTGCTAGCAACAACATAATGGAACATCTAGACTTACTTTTTACATTTTTAATATACTTTATTTTTCACTTTGATATAAACAAATGTGCATATAATAAACACTCTAAAATTGACTCTTACAAAAGTCAAAACATGTACCTAGTTCAATGAAAGCTGTGTATTGCTCCGAGTTTACAGCAACTACGGAGAAAAATGATTTATAATTATTTGAATCATGAAAAGGTTACTGTAATCCATTTTGAACATCATTTACAGATATCTTAAAATCACAATTCAGCAAACCCTTAACAGGGAAGCTGTTTATATTAAAACATTTACACACATGATACCACAACATAAGAAAACCAAAACATTTGAAAGCTAGCTACAACTACAAGCCTCCTGACTCTATCTTTTCCAAAACTTCCAATCTGGTCTTCCTTTTCCAACCTTTCATTGTAGCCACGAGGTTGATCAGCCCCGCCATTTGGCTTTTCGTGTATTCCTGCAACACCATTTTCAGGATTGCATAACGTAAACAATATTAAATCGGATGCTTCTTTACTTCTTTCCTATGCTTGATCGAATAAATAAGCTCAAGTTATAATGTATGCATGTAAAACTAATACAACAAGACTCTTACGGTACTCTTTTCACATGCATTTCTTGATTTTTTTAGCTTTTTCTCATATCAGAAGATACATGCAACAAACACGTTGTAGAGGGGTCGGTTTTGTAATTCTCTTTTTGGCCGAAGGTTGAGTTTGCACCTGTGATATCTGACCCTCTAGTCCTTAGTGATGGCTACTTGAAAAAAAAAGTAGTCTATCCTAGAGTTCATGTCACATGGGCGTAGATGCAGGTATGATAACTGGCATTCTGATATAAAATCGTATGAATTGAAGAATTATGTGACTAGAGGGAGGTTCAAGAGAAAACCCCTCAAAAAACAAAAAACTGAGGAACACTTTAATAACATTCATATGTACGGTATGTACATATGCATACAAGTAATTGAAGATGTAGCCTGGTTTCTTATGCACATGTGCATACTGGAAAGATTACTTACAAATTACTTGTATGCACATGTGCATACTGGAAAGATTACTTACAAATTACTTGTATGCACATATGCATATTGTAGAGATGAATGGTAGCTAGAATAGGGACGCATAATTTTTTTTAAACGGTGGCACCATTTGACTATAAGAAACAAATATAGGGATATTTATTACCAAATCATCATTGGTTTGTTGGTTAGTTCATTGATTTTCATATTTGAGGTCTTGTGTTCAAGTCTTTTATTTCAAATTTTCTTCAGGGACATAATAGATCTAAAGTTAAAAGTTAAAAACTAAGAAAATGACACTAACAAGATTCAAACTCGGGTTTGGGGTGAAAGAAAAGCCTTCCAACCAACTTTACCAATGAAAACTTGTGTTCTCATTGTAGTTTCAAAATATATATGATGGCACACAACAAATTAATACGGTGACACTTTTCAAGACCCTAGAATTTTTTACACTACGATGGATGGACAATACAGTGGCACGGTCCACCGTATCTACATTGGGTCCGTCCATGTCAGCTAGAGTGTTCCTTGGTTTTTCGTTTTTTGTGGTTTTTCCCTGAACCTGACCTTATGTGACTAAAAAGTTTTGAAGTAGATAAAAGAAACTCAATGATGAAGTAAATAGTTTTGAGCCAGAATATGTTACCGGATGAGCACGTGCCCAATGTACATATTCAGTTTCTGGAAGGTAATATGCCTGTAAAAGCAGTAGGACAGATGGAGTATCACCAGTTAATTCCCATCATAATGGAATTTAATGAAGTGAAGTAGCGAGTTAAGTTTGAAATATAGACTTTTGAACCAAATCATCCCTTGCTTACCTTAATAAAAGTTTCGACTGCGTATAATTTTGGCTTAACATTAATCGTGACAAAATGCTGAAGGCCATTGATCAAAACCTGAAATGATAATAGAAACACTCAATCTTCTGACACACCATAGATAGAAAATACTGAAGCTTTATTGATACCGTCATAGTTTAAGAAAAACCTGAAGATCCAATAACATTAGGGCTCGACCCTCATCAGAACACCGTTTCACTCTTGAGAGTCCTTCGATGAGAGTTTCAGAAATAGTTTCAAGTCCGTACTCTATTAGGAGATCTTGAACCTGGTTAACAAGAATAGTCTTTAAATAATGGCATTTCCCTTTTATAGAAAGATGCAGTTTGTTGTTTGCATGTACTCCCTCAGCCCCAAAATAACTCCCAACATTTCTGCTAATTTCAATTAAAATTTTACCCTTTAGGCCACTTCACATGTTATCGATAGCGTTTGACTTTGGTTTACATGAAACCTCTACTTTGTCACTGCTTAGTATTTAAGTTTTTATGTTGTTCCGAGGGTTATGCTATTTCCATGCCTTTGTAGTTTAGGGTGTAAAGTATCTTTATTAGTAAAAGCAACACTTTAGGGCTAGCTTCCTAAAGCGATCCTCGTTGTTTTTGCATTGTGATCTTGAATGAAGTACTTCGGATATTTGATTAATGGTCAAACACTTAATGTTGCATCTATTTCAAGACAAGGGACTGAAGGGGTATAAGTTTAGTTGTTCTGAACAGCGTATTATATTTTGCAGCTTAAAACTGATTCATGAACATTAGAAAGGATGAGAGGAGCTCAAAACTCTTTCACGAATACTATATTCTTTAGCAGAGAAGATAACAACACACTGACAACTTCAACATAGATATTTCAAGTATCCGCACAATATACAATACAAAATACGAGGCTCCAGCCATTACCTCCGTCCGAATACCTCCATGAGCGAGCCTTGTTTTGTAGTGCTTAAATTCTCCCAATAACAGGTCAACATACCTATTAACCACAAAAATATTAGTCCTATCAAGTATAGGTTGTCAAACTTGCTATAAGCGAAGGATCAGTAGGTCTAATGGGAACAGCAGATTTTGACAAAAAAGACTAATCAACCTACAAGATCAAGTAAAATGTTTAAATAGGAAGAACGCCCAAATTAGAAAAATCTTCATGTTGATTCACCTGAGTAGCGCACTACTCAAGTTTCTTAATGAAGATAAATGACTAGTTTCATATTTCTAAGCTGATAACTAGTTTCATATTTCTAAGCTGATACTGAGCTTAGGGGCCGTTTACAAAACGGTTATCGGGTAAACGCTTACTGGGTGCCAATTGCCTTAACGGGTGGACATGGCAAGGACCAAGAATATTACCCAGTAAGAGGCATAGCAAGGACCAATTAGCTTACCCGCTAAGTGAGGGAGAAGACTCTTACCCAGTAAGCGTTCACCAGGTAAAAAACGCCTACCAACAATCCATTTTGATCGTTGAGAATGCTACCCAATAAGGTAAATGAGGATGGCGATTATTGAAGGTAAGCGCTTAGCTGGAAAGCATTTGGTAAACAGCCCCTTAGTATGAAATACAATAACAAGACATTTGCCAAGATAAAGAGGAGTTTGGTAGAATATAATTCAGTAATTTCAAGAAGTTCAAAGAGAAGTTACTTGTCATATTAAAAGTAGCTCATGCTTTATCCTAGGGTGATCTTGGGCTATATATTTCTATCTGCTCTATCACTCTATGTGCTACCATGTTTGCTCTTTCCTTTGTTCTTTCATTGGTTTGTATCGCAAAAGCACACTTGCATACCATTTGATCATGGTCACTACCCAAGTGGGCAGCAATCAGAAAGCAAAATGCAAACCTAGTAGGGATGTCCCCTTCCTTTCCTAGCAGACTTGCTGATAGGAATCACCATCATTGTCGTCCGTATTTGTGATTTAAATTTAGTCCAGAGTGAAGTTTGAACTATTATTTATTGACTCATTTGTGTTGTTCCTCATCAGGAGTTTAGAGTTTTATGGAGTTTACGTGGACCTAATTTCATGACAAGGATGATTAAATGATATATAATAGGTATGTTGACTTGTCAATGGAAACAACTCTTTCTCTGAAACATATCATCATGAACGTATATCGTCAGAAATCTGAAGACTTTGGTGGATAAGAACCCTTGAAATCCTAGTGAAATGTTCTAAAAGAATACCAATTTCAGTTCCCTAGTTTGTTTATCAGTATCTAGTAATGGTTCACCAAGAGGTGTCACCTTTTCAAGATGCTTAATTGGGTTCAATGTAGCGCTCCTGGTCCATGGCGCAGTGCCTTTTTTCCATCCCTTTATTATGTGTTTAGCTTATGATTTTATTCAGGTATATTAGGGCTGAGAAGAAACAAAAAATCACCTGGAGAAGACTTGACATATTGCCTATTAATATATAATTTGTATAAATATCTTATACCAAGTATTGAAATCAAGAAATATCAACTATGCAAAACATGTATACCCATTATGTTCCATTCCAAGCTCTTTAACTTCCCATTTAGCACTGGCAATTCGATCCGCATACCTGCCAACAAGTCCAGGTGAAACACACAGGATTATACTAGTGCTTTAATATCCACACACACACTAGCACTCCCCATATGCAGAGGTATTCTACCGCAACCAGAACAACATAAGAAACAGATCTGGCATAAAGACGGCATGGATGATAGACTAACATCTAGCATGTGCACTAGTGCTATTAGAAAACTAATTTCCACAAAGCTTGAATGACATTTAAGATTTGCAACAATGACAGCACATAAGAACATTATGCACATAAATTATTAAGAAATCATCATTTTTTTCTGGATGAGCACGGGATTAAGTTTGTCTTATTGTCTTGTAAACAAGACAACTGCCTCCAATTGATTTACAAAGCAAAGAAAATAATATAAATAAAATGAACAGAAGAGAATTTTTCATGTTTTACCCACTAATATGAAAAAGTAACTTTGCTGTCGTTCTATGTATTTGCTCTGTGAGATCTGGCACCGAATCCACCTGTTAAAAGGTCAAAATTTTCTCCATCAGGTTTACATACAACTGGAGTATTCCAAAAAAAAATGAACCTAATGGAGGCAATCCATACTTAATTCTAACAAACAAGAGGCTGTAAACTATAATTTGGCAGTTGCTTAAATTGTGCTTTTAAGACCTGCACTTTGGGCGGCCCCAACATCCAGAGTGTATGTCTCAATACAGTTTGGACACTGGTCCTCCGACTTTACACAGAGACTGCAAAATGTTTTTTCTATCAATAAACAATTGGGTCGTCTAGAAAAATCTGGTTACTTCCACCCATCCTAAAGGATGTCCTATTTAGAAGTCAAAAGGTTGAAGAGAATTCTTATGTTTTCAGGTTTATTTCTCCTTCAATGTGGCAATTAGTACGAGGGACTCTGGAATGTATTTTTTCACCTTAGTGTGGTAAGAATTCCACAACATCTTTAAATTTCACATTTAGGTCCATTGCACAAAAAGGAATTGGAACGGCAAATACTCCTGTCCAGCACTATGTGGAACAACTTATCATACATGCACGTTAGGGAGGATGGTGTGCCTTAATGATCCACATAAAAGTGGACACATCCATTAAAATATAACATAGGGAAAATCACTGGTTTTGGAGTAGAAATATTAAGATAGCAGCATTAGAATTCTGGTTTCATCTAAATAGAGTCCTCCTATGCTACTTGGCGAGTAAAGATGTTTCAGCCATGCATATAATTTTCTTCGCATTGCAACTAATCTTTTATACTTCACCATTTTAACCTTGAGTTGAAAAGAACGACAGCTTTGTATAATTAAAAACAAATACATCATCTCAATTTTGGATTCACATAGAGAATGGTGACTGAAGCATACCACATGCAAATAAAATTCTTCAAGCACTGTTGCATTATTGGTCAGAAGTATTGATTGAAGATGAGCCTTAAATTTATACATTAAGTGGGCAACAAGAGATATGGTGTCAGCTCCTGCACATCTTTCCTGCAGCATCACCAAATTATGAAATTAAATTTGCTTGAATAAATAATCCAGATTCGATTCATATATATTTTCTACTAAGCAAGCAGCAGTTAAAGCATTGTATAAGGTTTCCGATTTATAATTAATAACAGAAAGACCATATTATCATTATACATGATCCCAGTTGATGGTCCAATCATACAGGTTATGCTCAATTGCATGAAAGGTCTCAATATGGTTAGATCAGCAGACACTAAAATTTGATGTCTCATGACTTAAAGTTGGCTACTGAAAATTTAATGTTCTCGTATTATATACCGGATGGTTTAAAAATGACTATTCCTGATCCTTCAGAAGTTCTACAAAATGTTTGACTACAAGTTGTGTTAAGGAAAAAACTGGAGAAAAACTCGTTATTCAGATTGCAGCAGTTCATTTATGATTAAGTCTCCATTCTTTGACATGCATTATATAAAACGGCCAAAAAGTGAGATTGCAAGTCATGGAACCATCCTCAATGGAGATGAAGCTTCGTGGTTGGTCAAATAATTGACCCAATATCTGCTCTCAGCTGTTTATGATATGGAATACATTCGATCATGGGATAAACAAAGGGGTGAAACGTTTCCTTTTGTTAAAGTAAAAAACATGTGGAACCAATATATATAAGGTTAGGCATTTGGTGCTTGCAGAAAAACCAACCATGTGATAAATTTGTAAACACAATTTATTTGTTCCTTTGTCCCAGTGGCATATATAAATGCAGTCATCCCTCCCTCTATCTCTCTCATCTTCAATATAGCAATTTCAATAATAGACTCTCATGTTTCCATCCTGTGCTTGGCTTTGCTCCATATTCCTAGATGGGAAATTATCAACACAAATCTTTGAACCTTTGACTTTTAGAAAGTCACATTCCCAAGACCTCACAGAAAATTCAAAAGCCACTACCTAAGGGTACCCAGAGGTCATATATCCCCATGTATTTGTCTATAACTGACTCGAATCAATACAACAACAGACAAATATGATAACCGTATAATCTCCAAGAAGGCACCAATGTCATATTATTAGTTATTTCCTATATGCGGCCATTACAAAATGATAAGTTCCCATCAACAGAAAAACATGGTTAGAAAATGAGAAGGGATCTAGCATTCACAGCATGGTAGATTACCTTGAGTCCAAAAGAGGTGCCAGGTATATGACTAGAATTTGCACTGGGTGGACTAGTGGGTGTGATGTCCATGTGAGAAAATGGCATGTTCAAAGGTGCGTGTGGAAAGAAATTGTCTGAAGAAGATGATGACGTTATCCATTGACTGCAATCTTGAAATATTCTGGATAAGGCTGTTTTCAGCCTATCTGAGTACCAAACAAAATAAAACCATATACCAAGAAGGCAAATAAATCATAAGCACAGAAGCTGAATGGAAAGAAATAACAAAATATAACAAATTTGGTGAAAGAGAAGAGAAGGAAACTAAATCAAGCACAAATTATATTTTCTACTTAATATTTGGTTCTATGGAGAAAAGAAAATATGACCAAAGGGGACCCCAAATATAGAAATGGGAGCCAAAAGAACTCACAAGTAAGAGCCTCGTTATTCCCTTTTCCACTAGGATTGGTGTTCTGATGACCAAAGCTTTCAAAAATAAAATAGAAAAAGATCCCAAACAACTGGCATATCCCCTGTAAGAATTAGACTCATTTAGACAAAGTACTGTAAAGGCAAAAACAACCTATGGTAGAATGAGTAAATCACAAAGACAGAAACCAGAAAGCATGAAGAAGATGACATCTATAGGAACATACCTTAAATAACTCGACATTGATTATCTCTAATCTTTGCATTAGCCTTGCATATTTATCCATCAACCTATTTGCATATACATTATGTTCAGTTCATTACACTCAAGACACTTATAAGTCAAGAGTCTGGAGAAATTGTTCACCTTAGGACACAAATTGATGATCCTGTGTGCGCTCTTGTATCTTCAGAGCTCCAAGGTAACGAGTGATTGCTTGAATGTTTGGGCTTAAAGTTACGGGTAGGTAGTTGACTATCCTCATCAATAAAATCTGCAAGAAGATCTTCGTTTTCATCTTCTGAAGCATCAGCATGACCATTACTATGATTTGCATCACTATTATGTGAAGAATTATTTCTGTGAGATGCCCCATTGATTTTTCCGTTGGGTTCTTCGGAGACTGCCGACACACCATGCAAAGGGGAACCATCACATTTTGAATCATATCGTGAACAAAATGGATTCCCACTTCTAATCCAATGGAAGAATACACCTTGCTTAGGGCCAGTTTTCATCAAATCAGCTGACTTGTGGGAATTTCGAGTGGAGGAGGTAGCAGTTTGACTTATCAATGCAGCTCCATCACCAACAAGACCCGCAAAACTCACTACCTGAATTGTCTCTGGTGACAGCATGGACCAACTCTCTCTTTCCAAAACCATTTTAAGGGCCTGAAAGATGAAATGATCTTATTAAATGTTTTCTAGCAAACTAAATGCAATATGGAAGTCCGATGTTATAAATATTAAAGTCTTCATCACAGCCTGGCAAATACATCATCTAATGACATGCGAGCATAGTAGAGACAGAAAAATTGATGCTAAACTCAAGATTGTGGATTTCACTAAGAAGGTAACTAGTGAAGTGCATAATTACCAACCAAAAACATGAACATTCCTTCAGATCTATAGTGGTCTAAGTGTTCGATCCCAAAAACCAAACCAAAAAAACCTAGTATATTCCATTCGAGAGTAGGGTCTAGGAGGGGTGGATGTACGCAACCTCTACCACGAAGGGTAGGGCGGTTGTTTCAGTGAAGACCTCACACTAGTGCCAAAATGTGAGCAAAAAGGAAAAGACACGTATTAAGACTAGCACATATTATGCAGCAGAAAAAGATGAAAAGACAGAAAAGGACACAAAGAAAACGTAACAGAAGTAAGAAAGGACACATAACCCTCCATCTCTGCAGGCCTCTGATACCATAACTGACGGCTCCCTAACCCTCCCGTCCTACCCTCGCCCTTCCTAACTACCAACTTCTTATGCACACTATCTACATGTCCCTTTTTAAATCTACTACCCTAGTCCTATGTCTCCAAGAGAACTCCTATCAGAGGTCTAGGTATCCAATCCAACCCTAACAAATCCATGAGTAACCTCCTTTAGATTAAATGTGTTTTGGGATATCAATTGACCCACTCGCTTCAGCCTAGGCTTCCAAAGTCTGTCAGAGTCTCTCACGCATCTGAGGGATGAAAGGCTGTAGAGGTAACAAACTAATGCACATAATAATGATGACAAGATCATTGAGTTTGCACAAACTAATAAGTAGAATTTTAATATCCATATCATGCAACAGCTTTAGTACTTTCTGTTTTTTTCCTTCTTTTCACTGACAGGTTACAATGATGTTTCAGTAAATTTATTAGCACAAATATAATACTCCATAAGCCAACTCACATGTATATTTTGTCTGTGAAAAGCAATATAATAGTTTTCACAAAAAGCTTTCACTTTCTGCCTAAACTCAACTGCTTCAGCCCCACAAAAAGCTTCCCCAGCCAAGATGAAGATATTGAGATCTTCATATATTTTTAAAAACTGGTGGATGCTAGCAGAAGATACTGCAGCAGATGAGAGCAATACTGACACACGGCTTGTTGCAAGTTGCCAAAGATAATTGCGACCTCTCTGTAATGTCTCTGAAACAAATACTGTGGCATCATTTCGCAGCTGAAACCATGGGGATCCACTGCTTGAAGCTCCACCCCCATCATCCCTTGATTCTGAACCAGACGGATCATGAGGGATAAAGCTGCCAGTTCCACTTTCATCAGAGAATATGATAGCAGATGTCAAAGGTTCCTCCATTGAAGCTAAATTGGGCTCTCGTTGGAAGGATTGAGAGGGAAAACCAACATCCACCTCGGAACTACAAGAATATTGTGATAATGAACCAGCTTGTTGAACATTCTTGGAAGATCCTGTTTCGTCAGCTTGTTTCTGCACCTCATGTGATACTTGGCCCATTGGAACCTGACAAAGATATTGAAGAACCAATTCTAATTAGTAAACATTATGCCTCCTAGAGAAGCATTATAAGCTATTGACTTGTAATGGAAAAGCATATGTTGTACAAAAACCCAGACTTATAACAGGAACTAGAGGTCAGAGGATCATTTGACCAATACAATCCGATACTAGATAAGCACTGACATAATTTGTATCTGAACCACAAAGAAGTTCAAAGAAATGAAGATCTAACAACTTGAAAGGATCATATCACATGATCAATAGAAATAATTTAATGAGGTCAGTAGATATGCAGTTACTGCCAGACGATCTTAGCTAAAAATGTTTTGTGACCAGATTAACAATGCCAAAACCACACAAAGGCCATTTAAGCCTGCTCATGCCCCAACTTCTAAAAGTCTTGATTAAACTATCTTTGTCCTCGTCCTGTCACAGAGGCATGGACTGCAACAATTGAACTAGCCAAGCAACTATAGATGTTCAGGCTCGATCAGATGCTAGTTAATTTGTTAAACTAGTTATGCCTGCTGGAATTGGGTTCCACTTGCTGTCTCTTACCTCAAAAATAAATATCTCATCTTGGTACAAGAGTTATGAGGCACTAAAATTGTTCCATGAAGCATGTAATAGATTGATATGATTTGCCATAAGCAGCTGAAATCTCTAATCATAAAGGCAGAGATTTACCATGTATTTTTGCTTAAAGAATCAAGACGATGTTACATATATGCTCCCTTGGTGACATCTACTAAACCCATGCAACATAAAAGTTCCCTATGTGAAATCCTATAGAAAACATGTAACCTACACACATGACCATACCATGCGTGAAGGTTATATTATGAAGACAACAGGAAATGGAAGCAACAAAAATCACCAATATGAACGAGGAGCCGTATGAGGTGAAAATCTCATGTACGGTTCTGTAGAGTGGTAGTAAGGGTGACTTATCTGTCAATTTTTCCACTATCACCCCAAAAAAAACCAAACTCTGTCTTCCGTAAAGTTGCCAGAGTACGATTAACCTCTGGATTGAAATCACTGCTTATATACCCGGTATTGGCCATAATTCACAAGAACATTCTGTAGTCTTAGTACAAGGGGGGTCTCCACAGCTAATGTAATCACGAGTTCACCGAGTCTCCTAAGACCTGCTTAGGTTGGCTACTGTCCTTTTTAAGTCTCAGATAAAGAGAGATCAGAATTGAGCCATGAGCCAACCTTGGCAGCAAGATGCATGACTCAAAAAAGACAGCTGGTTGTTACACAACAGCAACAGAGCAATTATTTGCATTAAATACATTGCTAATGCAGATATACAGACCACCTGGAACATTCCAGAACAGATGAACCGAAGATAGAACCATGTCTGAGCAACAACTTATCTACAAAGAACTGCAGAGTCTTGTGTTTCTAGAAATAGGCTGCACATGGCAATGCACACATAAACACCATAGGGAGGGAGAAGGGAGAAAGAGAGAGTTTTGAAGATGAGAAGTTCTTCAAAGGCACAAATAAGTAACAAAAGGGAAGCCAAGAATAAACACACGAGAGAGATATGAGACAAGAATTGGCTGCACATGCCAGCCTATCAACCACCCACAACCACCAGGCACAGTGATGCATCAAATACAGTCTGGTCCTTCACTAAGATAAGAGTAATATGATTCTTTAGTTTAAGATAGATCAATAAAACGACAGATAGTAAACATGAATTCACCTTATACTCTGAATGGAAACTCATAATTGTGTAATACGAGCACATCAACTTGAAGAGGACAGCTAGAGTCTCCAACAAACACTGCCTGTACTTAGATTCAGGTATCCGAGTGCAAAGATCACTGTATGTAAGCCTGAGATATTAAATAAAGACAAATTAAGAACAATTAAAAGTTCTAGGGAGAACAAATATTGATGAAAATACAAAAAATTGTACCTGGTGCTTTGCATTTCAGCAGCTTCTAGATCCTGCCACATTCAGTTAGTCATAGAATTTTAAATCAACAAAGGGATAGATAGCTATTGCTATTAAACAATAAGTGGTTGGCTTAAAACTGAAAGATGGTATTGTTAGTATTTCAATGTCAAGTACACTAGTAAAAGGTACCATAAGGTATTGATTTGAATCAACAAAGCAACCACTACATGATGCCAGAAATTAAAGGTGTCTCACTCACCTAAGAGCATATATGAGTTTAAGTAGTACAACAGGCAATGTATATTATATATAAAGTCTAGTGCTCTCTACAGTTCCAAAATACATCTCGCCAATATCGTCAGATGAAGCTTTGGGAATTTCAGCAGATCAACATTTTATAGACAAATCAATGCTCTGTAGGATCTTACAAATGCGTAAACAAGAAATTACTTGTACATTTATACAATCATAAAACACATACTCCCTCCATCCCAAAAGAATGTAACACTTACTATTTTGGGTTGTCCCAAAAAACACAACATTTCCTTTCCTGGAAGATTCCAATCAAAATGCACTTATTTTCCCATTAGCAATTGTTACAAGATATTGGTGAGAGTGATTTTGGTCCAAGAATTTTCTTAATTTTGTAAATTTAAGGAATATTTTAGGTATTGACTACTTGTCAAAAGACTTCCCTTGAACTATATGTCAAGTCAAATGTTGCATTTTTGGGACGGGGGGTAGTTTTTGTTGAAAAGGATGCCCTTCCAATCATGTATGGACGCCCTTTCAAATGTCATGTTCTCTTCATCCTCTTTTACTCTAGTAACTGATAAGGTATGATTTGAAGTTACTGGTAAAAAGATATACCTCTAGCACAATGCTCTTAAGGACTGCATGGGTTCCAGATATGACCTCCTGCATAAAGAAGCTTTGTATCTTTTCAGCAAGACCAGAAACATCACCAATCAATGCATAAGCATCAACGACCTGCAAGGATGGTAAAGAGTTTCATATTGCTTAAGAAAGACAAGAGAAAAGGCATATCAAGTATAATTACAATTAATAATTGAACTGATCCTCCAAAAAATTAACTGAACCAATTTTCATAAGCTAGATTTAAATTGGAAGGCAGAATTGTTATGATAAACTGAAGCAGAGCTTAATGAAGTGACCACTATAAAGTCAATCACTAAAATGGGTTTCCTATGCAGAATATGCAGATTTACCTCCAAAAAAGCAGGATATATGTATTGTGAAATATTATAATCGAAGAACAAATACTTTGCTAAATGAAAAGGAAAGGTGATCATCATTACCATATTAAACCAAACAAAACCGACTCCGTATTACTTGAAAGTAGGGTATCAGGGGTGGGATGTACACAGACCTGTCATCTACCCCAAAGAGTAGAATGGTTGCTTCCATGAAGACCCCCGGCTAGTGCAAAAGTGTGAGCAAAAGGGTAAGGAACAAAGACTAGCAAAAAGTAAGCACAGAAAAGAAAAAGGAGTAAAAAAGTAAGGAACAAAATGATATCAATTATCCCTATAATAATTAACAATTATACAGGATTACAGTAATACTTCGTCCGTCCCAAAATGGTCCACATTTCTATTTTAGTTTGTCCCGGAAAAAGTGTCCACTTTCAAAAGTAAGTGCTTACTTTCCAATTCTACCCTTAATTATGAGATGAAGAAATTCATTACTACCTGTATTATTGAGGGTAAAATTGTCATTTAGTTAATTAAGAAGTGTAACAATTACACATTTCTAAAACCGTGTGCCTTTTTCATTGTGGACATTTACTTTGGAACGAATGGAGTACTTTCCTAGAAAGACTACGAGACCTGAAAATTTATTAGCCCATGTTACTGCAATCCTAAATTCCAATTAATCATGCAGATTCGATTACACAGAATCTCTCTAAAAAATTAAGCGTTTTTTCTGCTAATGGTGATGTGGAGATTCTCTCTAGTATCATTGTAGAAACTTCCTGAAGTTCGGTAATGGCTGAGAAGGAGAAACTAACTGTTGAATGTTGATAATGGGAATCATATGACAGTGTGATACAGCAATTACCCTACAGTTTCAGGATTGGGCCAGATGCTGTCAAATCTTTACCCACTACATCCTAATCTCCAAAGCTCGAGCCAGAAGCAAGCCACCCCCAGAAAAACCATCATTATTTACAAACTCATAACGTTCTCCCACCCAATTCCTTTCTTCCTAAACAATACTTCCTTACATTTATTATAAAATGATGTCCTGTATATAAATATAAGAGAAGCAATGCTGCTAATTTTCACCCAATTCCCTTCTTCCTAAGCAATACTCCTCCACATTTATTACAAAATGATTGTATAACAGAATAAGAGATGTGATACAGCTGACTGCTAGAGACTCTTATTTTGAGAATATGGCCAGTCCGTTCACAGTAAGACAGTAAGTTGGTGCATGTCCACAAACAAATTAGATAGCTCCCCTTCTCTCCTTTTACAGTTGAGTGATTTTTCATCGTATCTCCCTCTTTCTATGGATAAGTGGGTTCTTTGATCTGAATGACTTCACAAGCTACCAAACTATGCAATCATGTTGAAGTTGATACTTCTGAACTATGTAGCAAAGATAAGGGTCTTGGATACCAACAGTCCAACACGTGACTAATCCACATATCAGCATTACAGAATTTTGAAAGTTGAAGATATATGTTAGACATGTAACTATATTTTGCAAAAACCTAATCAGAACAAATAAAAGCATCAATATGCAACTATTGAGGGATAATATTTGGTTTTTACCAAGTGTAAGTAAATATAGAATAACAATTATATAATGGTCCTAGTGGTACAGTCAAAAAAAAACATGTGGCATGTAATCTATTGGAGTCAAGCTGGTCAAATCATAAAATTAAGTCAAATTGTAAAGATGGCGACAACAAGAGGATTGTATGAGAGGGTGAAAATTAAGAAGACAGTGGAGCGAGCGTAAGCCGAAAAAAGAGGGTTAGCAGTTTCCTTGACAGGCCGAAGAATGCCATTGTCATGGTCTTTTGGGTCTTGCGTTTGTACCTAGAGTAATGACTCCGAAACCATGAAGAGTATGAGAGTCAAAAATGTGAATCCTTCATTAATCAAAATGGGAATTGTCAAGAGTCCCACATCGCCTAGACTTGGACAAACTCCCCTCTATATATGTTGGAACTCTCCCCCCCCCCCCCTTCTCTCCTCAAGGGCTTTTTTGGAGATTAAACTGAGGTTCTACATATTCTCACGTGATATCAGAGCCAAGTTCTACCATTTGGGACATCTTTGCCCGGGACTCGGCACTCTAGGACATCTTTACCCGCCTAACCCCTTTCAACACTCTAGGACATCTTTGCCCATCTAGCACCAGTTGGAGGGGGCGTGTTAGAGTCCCACATTGGCTAGACTTGGGCAAACTCCCCTCTATATATGTTGGAACCTCCCTTCTCTCCTCGTTTTGGAGATTGAATGAGGTTCTACATATTCTCACAGGAATAAATGAGAATCCAAAGCAGGCCAATCAGTGCCAAAATTATGAAACCCTAAGTATAAGATATAACCAAATTATGTATTTCTCGTATGTATCTGACTCTGGCATCATGGAAGCAACAGTTCAATGTACTCACAGTCAAAAAGCTAGTTTCTTTGAAATCTTGGCACACTCCCAATAGAAGTGAATCCAGCTTCTGTAGAGCTTTTCCCAGCCAAATCTGCAATGTGAGTATTGCCTATATCAGAATAGAGTGATGTACTACTACACCAAAACAAAGAACAGTTGAAGGAAATTATACAAGTATAATTCCAGCTAAGGAAGAAAACAAGGATAATTTAGCTGAACCGATAGGGTAGAGGTAAGGCTATCATATGCTAGCAACACTAAAGATAATTACAACAACCATTATAAGAAAAAATAAAATAAGATCATAATTAACTATACTACCCATGGATGTTTAGCTCATTCCAACTACTTGAACAAATTAAATAGTGTCCCTAGTGCATCAATGAGCAAACCTACAGCAAAACCAAGCTGCTTAAGAAAGAACTGGACGAGTATGCGCTTTTGACTTCAACAAGAGATCAAACCATCCTTGAAATCTGTGCAACAAGAGCCATCTATGTGTCTAAGTAGCTGTAACCAAATTCTTAGCAGAACTCTTCAGAGAATTAGCCACTTATAAGATAAAATCAAGTATGCATTCAAACTTCTTTGTTAAGTCCAGTTCAACAATCACCAGAGAATGGAACTTTTTTAGCAATGCATTCTATTTTTTTAATAGCCTCTAATCCAGCATAAAGAAACTGCAAAAAACTGTTGAGCTAATGAATTTTATACCACACCCCATGGAAACATATCTGAGTAATGTCATGATGACTTTCTTTCTCTTTCCTGAGCACAATGGTGAATGCATGTTCGCTTGGATTTTATTTTAATTTTTTGCCTTCTGATACTGAATAGTAGTTTAAACATGCAATCACTTATTTGTGGAATGACTTTACTTCCAGACTATGCCTTTTTTAAGGAAAATGCACCCCTTCAGGAAGGTAGCATATCGAGGAGTGCCTACATTTTGCTCACGAGTCAGACATCTAACCTTTTGGCTACAATTATTTAAAACCGATTCATATAAGAGAAAAGTTTGTTATCCTCTTTAGTAGGAAACTTAGTTCTGAACAGAGTGATCTTTTCAACTTTTAATTTATTCATGACATCTGCAACCAGGCACCTCTACAGGTGCACAAGCCACCATTTCGCCTTAATCCAGTTGGAAGGTTTTTCTCTCCCAAGTTCAACAGCTATGCCATATTAATTTCTTACCTCCACACCACGGCTCATCTCTTGTATAGCTGAAAGCTCAGATAAGCTATCCAGAAGTTGAAGATACTCGGACAGGACCTGGAATGCCTGTACAAGGAACCAGTCCAGCATAAAGCCGCAGTCTTGAATTGAGATATCATAACAGGATGGATAATCTCTTAGATCAACCACAAAAATTGGCTAAATTGCCATAACACAAAGAAATTCCAGAAAAAAGGAGTGCACCTTAAAGAAATTATCTTCATTAACATGGGTTTCAAGTTCTATTTGCATGTGCTTTGCACGACGAAGCTCTTTCAAAACTAGAAGCACTTCCTGCATATTTATTTGATATTTTTTGTGAGATGTAAATATATGGTTAGTCATCATAAAAGATTCCATCATGTGGAAGCAAATGCAATTAGAATCAAATATCACATTCTCAAACCCAACTCATGTAACAAACTTCAATTCTTCAACATGTGATGTCTTCACACTTGGACATATGAAGCAAAGTAAATAGAATTCAGATTATTCCCACCAAAGCATAGACCTTCTCACAGAAAGCCACGCCTACCTCAAACTCATAGCCTTGAATCTAAACTAATTTTGTTACATTTCATGTGCTAATTTGAAAGGATCTGCGCCAATGTAATATCTAATCATCTGAATAACTAAGGTGACGACAGAATTCTATCAGATGAAGAAAGAAGGCTTCGAATGGTAAAGGATAATAACATTCATTCGATTTTTTTGTTTTCAGTTTTTCTTCTCAATGTTGACTTCACTTATGTATCCTACATCTGTTTTCTACAAAAGAAAATCCACTTCAAAGGTTAATGCATTACAGGACACCTTTGTCCAGATTATGACCAAAGTAAGGTATACAATAAAAGCCAGATTCAAAGGAACCTTTTAAGTAGAAACTGATTTGAACCAACCAAAAGGCTTCTAATTTGAGAACTCCACAACTATTTCATATCATGCAGTACATACTAGAGACATTCCTAGAAACATACAAGTTGTTTCAAGTATATTACGTTGACAAGGCCTATCACGAATACACAACATGTATAAGCTAATTAGTCTGACAAGAAGTAATGCTGTAAAGGGTCCCAGAGGATGGATAATACCAGAAGAGTTTGTTTCCTTCTAGAACTTGTGTTAACAATAAGGTCCCTCGATACTTCATTCCTTGAAGAAGTGAGGTGTCTTCGTCCATTCTATTCATACAAAATAAACATGCTAATGAGTTCTGAGCAAAAACAAACCTGCCTTAATCATTTTAGTTTATATAGCTAGACTAATTCTAGCTACCTTAGGTTTATGGTTTGACAAAATCAGGCTTAGGCAGACAAACACAAACGCCATCACCGGCTTACCATGCAAATGACATTTGCAATCTTCAAGTCTTTCTCCAGCTCGCCTACCAAATCCATTCCTTTCACTGAATGAAAATAAATATTACCGCTTCATCACCGTCTAAAAAATCCACTTTTTATCAGATGCTAGGTCAGAAACTGCTAAAGATACAGATAGGAACTGAAAGAAGGGCCACTGCAATACAAGTTCAACCACAAGAACAAGGAACTGAAGTATATGCAAGCAAAGGAACATTGGTAACAAGTATCACTTTGACAAAGATACGACCAGTATGAACCACATACATGAAGACAGAGACAGAGAGAACTATACCGTAGCACCGGATTAAGGAATACTGCCTACTTAACCATATATAAGATGCTTCTTTCATGATGTGAAATGACCGATGAGTGGGCCATAAATTATAACCAATGATGTAATCAAGACAGAAAGAAGATCAAGATGATAGCTTCTATCATGATGGGCCTTTTAAAGGCCGCTGTGTTCTCAAGGAGTAAAATATGATTTCCTCATAACCTGATAATACAAAGATCCTTACCTAAGCTGCAGCTTTTTGCCACTAATTTTTGCATTGTTAGGTAGGGAATGGTAGTCTATGAAACTTAGTGATTGGAATGCACATGAAGGCTCAGAATTATGGCAACCCCTATCAGTACATACAAAAATGCTATCACAATGGATGTTGATGTCTAAAGGGTTATGTGCCAATTCCTTAAAGAATAGATATTTGTGTATATAATGCCAATGTAAACAAGCTTCATCACAGTGCAAAATGACATGGGACAAACAAAAAAAACTCATCATTAAAAGATTGTAATGCCAAATTTTCTTTATGTAACACAAATGGGGTAAAGATAACATATACATCACCTGGAAGAGACTAACTATGTAGTAATCTTAAGTGACGTGAACTATTTTCAGTGTCTAGGTATTGCACATTTTTAGGGAAATTTGGAATCTAAAATCTCTAAAGCTAGCCTAGAAGCTTCCAGTTGTTATATCATCTCATCTTCTCTGTCATTTTGAGATTGGCCTATTGAGAAGAAGCAGAATCAGCCAGCTCTTCTCAAAGAACCATTCAGTAACCATTTACAATTAAGTGACAACCTACATATAAGCATCAACTAATTCAACCATAGATATATGCAGTTGCCAATGATACATGCTAACCATCAAAACAGAATCAAGAAAAATGGCTACATCAATGGTGAACAGGATACACCTAAATTCAGAAAGAGAGAGAGATATTGAAGTCGTTCTTATTGCTGCTGAATAGTTGCAAGATGTTGGAGGAAGATTGAATGTGGTGTATGTTAGCTTGTAGGTAGACAAGAATACGAGAAATCAGATTCATTGTATATCTCACAGCAGAATTTGAACAAATTATAGCATTAATCTTACCCATTACTTCGTGGTGCTCCATCACTTGGCGAGACAAACTTTCTGTTACTTTATCCAGTTGTAATAATCTAAGAGAAGCCTATAAACAACAAATTGCAGATTCATATGTAAACATTTTTATTGAATCTAAACACTTGGCAAAGTATAAAATGAACTCGCATCTGAACCAACTACCAATCCCCTTTCTCTTCTCCTAGCCTAAAGAGTGCTCACAATGTGCTGGTGTAAAACCAGTGCATATTCTTCTACTCCTTAAGCAGCATGTTACCACAATGTGAATGCAATAACATGTCAAACTAGAAAATGAATCTACCATGGGCGGAAGTAATAAACCAAAATTCACACTTGGCAAGAAAGTTTCCAGTTACTTTATCTGGTTGTAGTCACCTAAGAATAGCCTATAAAAACAGGCTGGAGATGTATATGGTAAAGATCCAAAAGACTCCAAATGCATATCATATGCATGCAGCATGTCAAATGAACGATGGTGAGGATGCACACTGAGAGACGAAAGAGGAAGGGAGAGAGTGCAGGTATTGAATTCCTACATGCCAGTCAGAGGCACAAAATACATGCATCCAAACCCAGAGTAGTACCAAAAGCACAATTCAGGTGACAAGCATAAAGACCCATGAAAGATGACTGACATTTCGTTTGTCAAACAATAAATAGAACCTTGGCTGGTTTAATTACGTAAAGGAAACAGATCAAATTACCTTCCTCTCAAAATATGCATGATCATTTTCTTCGGATGGAATATTCTCTAGGGCGTGTCGAACAGGATCAAACTCCTATTCACAGAATTTCAGCAGCTTTTAGCAATAGTAACACAATATAACTTGGAATAATTAACTAGTTCACATGCAAGGCTATTTAGATAAGAAATAACTATATAAAGCATTTGAAAGTGGTATCCTCCCCCTGCCCCTCCTAAAAACTGAACATAGACAAATAAGTAAATGAACACGTATGAAAAATAGGAAGAAATACAACAATGACAGGACTTCTCTCCCAAGCTAGTTTGTCTACATTAGAAACAAATACAAGTCCAAAGAAGGATGAAAAATGAAAAAAAAAATCAAACTGAACATGACTAGAGAAGTTACTTGAAACTAAAAGAATGCTAGAGAACTAGACTCACATCATAACTAATTTGAAGAATACCTGACATTCTAAATAACAGAAGATTAGCAAAATACTTAAGACCGTGCTAGATGGCTCAGCAATCTCATTGTTGCTTCAGTTGAACTCCTACCATCATGTTGCAGGAAATTTGATTTTTGAACACAACTACATGCTTATACAAGTTACCCATACAAGATTAGAAGATATGGATTGGCTAACTAAGTTTGGTATATCAAGGACTTTTTACCTTCCAAGTTTTTAACCAACTTCAACTTGTGAAAAGTTTATTGTATGATAGTCAATTGGATGTTTTTTAGGATGTGGAAGAAGGTGCTATATGAGTTTCTACTACTTAGAATGCTTTAGCAGAAAGTGTCATCCACCTTGCACTAGTGACTAATGAACTCTGCAGTATGTTTGTCCTTGTAAGGAACTTTAGCAGGTTTATGCTGGAAATGAGTTTGTAAGTTGTAAACCTTATCTCCCTTAGCAGCATGGGTTCTATAGAACTATACTAGTGAATCCCTTTCTCCTTCTACAAATCCCTCGTGGTAATGTCTTCAGGCAGATGAGAGGCAAGAAGATAAGGATCCTAAAAGGTTGTTGTTGCAAATATCAATACAATGCATGTTAACTTCAAATCCTAAGTCGATGTTCAACCAAAGTCAGACAAGGCATCCATACTAGCAGAACTCTCAGGTGTAAAATTATCTGCAATTAGTAAAATATGTCTTAAGATTCAATTGTATAGCATTATTTCACATAGTATCATTGAAAATATGGTACAGCATGTGTATTTGACCACCCTGAAACATACATTTACAAATCTAATAAATGTCAAACCTCTTCATAAAATTCCTCCTCAAGCTCTTCCAGTACTTGATCACGATGTTCACTTCCATATATAGAACTCAGCTGTTCAGAGCTTGAAGAGATATTTTGTCTATGATGTGGAGGGATTGAAGCAAGTGCACGAGCTATAGTTGCTGCAGCTGCAGCCCGTGCTGGAACCTGTAAGACAAGTAATTTACACTTGAATCATATAGCAAAATCCTATTGAACAGCAGTACCGGAATTGTCTCAACAAACTAAATCAGCAACGTTATTCAACTGCATTGTGGGTACTATTTTCCAGATTACTTGCTAAAAGAAGCAATTGAACAAAGAAATTAAGAAGTTCCATGGAAATAAGAACCCCCGACAGACATTGACAACACCAGTGCTGAAAATACATTAACCTTCTAGTAAACCTCCGTTGCGTTTCACCTATAGGAGAAAGGGAAAGTAACGAATATAGGTGGGTGAAGTTTTGGTTGTTTTACTTTTCTGAATTAGAATAATTGTTTGGGAAAGGGTACTTCTGGTATTTTCCCTCGAATAATGGGCCACGTGTGTTAAAGTGGGTAGGAGCTTTGTTTTTGGGGGCATTCTGTTGAAAACTTGTAACTCGAGCAGGAGCTCTGGGAGAGTCCCTGGCCTCTCGAATGCCAGTGGAATTTCAATTCCTTTTCAATACAATTCACAGCCGACTGTTTTGAATCAGTTTATAGCACCTTCCTGTGAGAAGAAAGATAAGAGATTCATAGAAGAAAGACATGCCTACAAGTTGGCCTCCTTAATTTAACAATTTAAGACCAAGGAAGAATTCAAGCAAAATAACAAGACCAACAATGAATGACACCTCGACAAGTGTATCCAAGCTAGTTGAAGGAAATCCAGGAATGTAGCTTGTACTTTCTAATCTGAATAGGCTCTACCCTTTACTTTCAAAGTTGATTACGATCTCGGGAGTTAAGTTTATGGCCTTCGTCGTGTGGGGCATTCAGAAATAAATCTTCGCATGGATAGGAATTATAGCTCCCTCCTTTCTTCTTCACCTTATTCTCCTTCTTTCCATTTTGATTCTTCTGCAGAGCCTTTTTCCGGTATGCTAACTTGTCTTAAATCAAGTTTGCATTACTAACAGAGTTTTCAAGTAATAAATTCTTCCATAGTTTCAGACCTTGGCAGGTTCTTGGAGTATCAAAAATAAATCCTCTTCCTCGTGAGGCCTAAGAGCCAAAAAATCATTGAATTGCAAAGCGCCAAATGGGTCTATGGTTCTGTGCAAAATATCATTATGCAGACTCGATGGATGTTTGCTTTTTGTGTGAACGCATGGTATGGTAGATTACATAAGGACTTGTGATATAGGATATGCATTATCACATACCATTTGTTTGAACTTATCCAGAGATTGATACATTATAATCAATCCAAAAATATTAAGGGACTGATGGTGATCATTCTATTCCTTTATCACACAGCACGTCAACTTTAAGTTGAAACGCGATTAATTTAAGCTTTCATGCCCATCTATGAAACTCCTATCATTTGAACAAGACAGGTTCGAACCTCATTGACCACTTCAGCTCAGATGCACCAGTTGATAAGCTTCTCTCTGGAAACCCTGTTTAGTTTTCTCTTTTTCGTTCAAACCACCAAGACAGTCTTATCTTTGTACTCCCTTTAGGTTTTATTCACACCTCATTCAAGTTGAGAAATTCAACATCAGTTGATTGTTGTTCAGAAGCCTTGTACCTTGACTAATACTTTCAGTTGAAAGTGACAATCCTACTTGTGCCAAGAATTTCAATTCCTCCATCGGCACCAATGGAAATAGATATTCTCTTTATCCGAATAACCATGAAAAAGTTCTACAGTTAATTTACTATGATTTTTAATCAATCACCGATTAGACCCTTAGAGTGATTCAGTCGATACAGTGGTGCGCTTGAAGTGGGGGTGCAATTTGAATCAGTAATCATCAATGCATAAGGGAACAGCACAAAGCGATGATTTTCAAACACAAATTAAGACCCGTCTAATCAAGCCTTCGAACAATTGGCAAGATCACTCTTTGAGGTCCCACAAACAACCTCTTTGCAAACAGAGAAAGACCATTTACAAAGCCTGTCTGGCGTATGAAGTTAATTTTAAAAGAAGTTAGCACCCCTTATCGAAGGATGCAGGCTAGAAAAAAAAAATATGAAGAAAAACCACTACAACAAGTTTCGCTAATGAAATATACAAGTTCTGGTTATTAGTTACCCATGCCCGCTCTCCTTAGCTCCAAAACATCAATATAGTAAAATAAACCTAATTATTATCATAGAGATGCTGCTTTAAGCTACTTGGCAAAATAAAATAATAGTATTATAATAGCAAAATGGAGCATAACCAAGTTATTTGGACTATATATGTGAGGTGTGTATAATTTAAAAGTTCATTAACAAAAGATATGGAGTTAAAATTACCAGTTATGCATACAAAAAACTTCAAAAATCCATAGTTTCTCACCGGAAATCATTTACGACCATGATCTGTGCCTTTAAACTACTTCCATTAGAATAACATAAATTTAGACTACAGTATCAAACAAGTGATGCAGACATAATTACGTGATGAGTTGGTTTAAGCAAGAGCTGTAAGCTTCCAATTACCTCAGTACGATCGGAAGTCGAAGGAAGAAAGCCGAGAGATCTCGCGGAGCGTACTGAACTGAGAAACTTCTCACCAACCTTTGACAAATCCATACCACCACCGTTATCGCAGCTGCCTCCTCCTGGAGATAACAGAAGCGAACCTAAGAACAAAAACCTATAAATCTCGAAACCTTCAGGACTCAAATTTCCGTGATTCAAAGCGAGTGGAATGAGAGCAAGTGGTGGTACAGAGAAACTGCTTGGCTGCATCTCAAATCGGAGGTCTGAAATCAAGCAACTGATGAAATTGAAAGCCCATTTGTAAAGAGACCTGCAGATCGACGGTGAATGGCTTGCAGAGCCGTGGAAGAAGGTGAGATCAAAATTCGGTTTGAGCACAGAGAGGCACTGTTGGTATAGATGACAGACTGATTGACCTTGACTTGTATGCCATCCCCCTGATACTCTTTTACATGTTCCTTTCTAGTAAATGCTTTTTCTGTAATATTATGACATTTAAATGGTTAAATTTTGCATACATATCACCTATGATATCAAATAACATCGTTTGATAATAGGAGTCAAAAGTAAGAATTGTATGAACATGAGTAGTGTATAATAAATCTGGATTTTTATCACTTTTAATTTCATCTTATTCTATAAATTGATTTTTCATGAGAATTAATCTAGTTCATATCTTGAAATATTATATCAACACCTTGATCTTCAATTATAACTGATATGAAAATGAATATTCATTCTTACATTTTTTAAAATAACTTCTAATTACAATATAGCGATTGTAACACTTTTCGTCCCTTTATTCACAATTACAATATAGCGATTGTGGTTTGCAAGAACATCCAGAGCTGGTCCCTTCTTTTAACGCAGTCAAATACTTCCGTTAAAATAAGGGCGCTTTCTTCTTTTTAGTCTTTCTTATGGTTTTTTCCTCAATTTCTATTGAAAACATAAAATCTTTTTTGTAGAGGGAACCCTTTCCACCGACAAACCCTCCGATCATCGTCTCCGGTGAAATTTCCGATCATCGTCTCCGGTGAACTCCAGGAACACAGTAACCAACTAACCATCTCCAAACCCACACCTCAAACCCCAAAATCAAAAAAAAAAAAAAAAAAAGATGGGGGTTTCGATAAAGAGGTGCCAAACCCACACCTCAAACCCCAAAATCAAAAAAAAAAAAAAGATGGGGGTTTCGATACAGAGGTACCGACAAAAAACCCAGATCAAGATCAAACCCCCAGACCCAAAATCAAAATCAAGAGCAAGACCCAAAATCGAAGATCATGCTCACCTACTCTCACTATCAAAATCAAACCCTAATATATTTCAAAACAGACGAGAGAGGTTTATGAATGTAGGGACAGATCGGGGGGGGGGGGGGGGGGGAGTTGCAGGGTTGAGGGGTGTCAGATGGAGAGAGAAGGCCAGGAGATGGTAGAGATCGACACCCATATTTCTTCATTTGGTGTTGCTCCGATGTGATCACCGTCGGTGCGTTAACAGATGCATTGATTTTTTTCCTGGTGTTGCTCCAATGTGGTGACGAATGCAAAGGGGATTTTGCATATCAAAGCAAAGGTTACTTGGTTGTGGTCAGTGGTCATGAAAGGAGAGGGGTGGGCGTGGGACTGGTTGCTCCGATAGACGGAGAAGGAAGAAGAAAATAGAGCCATGAACAGGGTCGTGGTGGGTGGAGGCAATGAGCAATAGGGCTGTGCTCTGGCCGGCGAGTTGTGGCCAACGAATTGTAACCGGCGAAGAGTCGGTCCTTGTGCTTTGCACGTCTTCACCCCTGCGCCCTGTTACTATGTGTATACATACATAAATATGTATGTATAACTATATATTATATTATATAATTAAATTGCATTTTTTTAAAGATCAATTCAAAGGAAACGGTAAAATGAGGGAATGCCCTTCATTTCAACGAGTTCCTACCGCTCGTTAGAGGGAGGGATTAAATTGTGGAGGTTTTTGTAATTTTGGAGTTGCAGGAACAAAAAGTGCTATAATCGACAAACCACAGGGATCAAATTGGTAGTTTACTCTAAATACATATTAGACTTTAAAACAATCATCGTGAAATTTATGGAGTAAACTTTACAAGTTATAACATTGATCGTTGATGAAGTAAATTTTTGTTCCATTTTTGTTACGTATGGTTGTATGGGTATATACGAGCGCAACAAATTAAGTTGCTAGAACAATAAATACAGAGTTTTAGAAATATTTGTGAAATGTAAATGTTCTCAAATCATATTTAGTTCTCATTGCCACTATCATCTTATCTTCCATTTTATTTCATTACTCGCAACACGTGTTTTGCGATGAGAACTCTGATTTTCTTATTTATTGAGATATTTATGTTCATAATGCATACATGTGAATATATTACAAATATTGATCCCTTTTAACTTTTTTTTTTGTCAGGGTTTCATATGAGGTTAATACAATTATTGTTATCATAGTCATGAAATCTTCCTTGCCTTTTTGCCACTCGGTACACGTATTACTTTGATCTTATGCATACGCATAATACAACTTCTTTATGTTTTGGTTATTAGCTAACTATTCGACCATCATTGATTGCATTTTTGTTATTTGCTCTCTCTTTGAGGAGGTTTTCTCTCGTTTCTTGTTTCGGTATATCTTGTAAGCATTCTTAAACATACGTGTGATAACACGTTCTAAATTATGTATCACATATATTGTATCATCTTATTTTATATTCATCATGCTTATTCTTTTTAATGTGTTGTGTCATCAATAAACATATACATGTGATATCCCCATAAATTGGGTTCCCATATCCTTTAAGTTATAAATTTTCATCATAGACATACATCTAAATGACTTGTGTACGTCTCATACGTGTTTTGTATCGTCAATCACTTAGGGGCCGTTTACCAAATGTTTACTCGGGTAAGCGCTTATCAAGTCACATTATCTTATCGGATGAATATTATAAGGACAAAAAATCTTACCCGGTAAGAGGGAGACAAAGACTGAGAGTCTTACCCAGTAAGTGAGGACGGAGACTCTTACCATGGTAAGCGCTTACCGGATAAATTATTGCATACGATGCCGTATTGGTGGACTAAAGTCTTACCCGGTAAGTAAGTGGTAGTGTTAAATTTTACCGGTAAACGCTTACCGGGTAAGTGTTTGGTAAACGACCTCTTAGTTGATTTGTTTCCTACTCTCGTAGTCATCATGATTGGATACCCTCCAAGGATATCAATAGTATCATAGACAGACCCATAAAAGTTTATAAACGGTAACATCATTTGACTATAAGAGAAATATATGTATGCAAATTTTTCATAAAAATGTTACAAATCTATTGGTTGACTACGTACCCTTACACAAAAACAACCTATCTTAAACATTGTATTAAAAAAATCCAAAAACATAAAAAGCTATATAAAAAACCTCGAAATTTAAACTAAAAAGTAAGATATTTGACAAAAGCACGACTCAAACTTGAGCACTCTTGTGCAAAGGCAACAACATCAGTCATCTATGTCATCCATCACAAACATGTAATTTATTTTCATTATGACGGAACCATGAAATGATAGTCGTGCCACCATATCCTTGTATGTAAGCCCCCTTGGCTTGCGGCATCAACCTATGCATAACCAAGTGAAACTTAAAAGTCTGTAGGTTTTGCCCTCAAGTTTGATACGAATCAAATACGGAATTTAGAAGAACATCCCCATGTCCAAACTTATATTATATATGTAAAGTTATATAACTTGTGTTGGGTTTCGATGATAAGGAGAGTTAAAGGTGATCAAAAGTCCAAATCATTTCTTACGCTTGTCACCTAAACTCTCATCCTCATACAATCACGTGCTTATAAAGCTTTATATAAAATAATATTTATGAGATTGTGAAGCATATATAAAGTTACAAAACTTAAATAATTCACTTGCACAAACCAAATCGTCTTTGTTTGTTGAGATCCTTGTTGCAAAACAATCTTATGTAATGATTACTTATATTTAGCATTTTTTTTTATCGCCAATGGTGCAGTGAACAAATATAATATAAAATGAAATATAACTGTTTGGTAATTGTTTACAATGAAGTTATGACACTGAATGGTTTAAGAGGCCCAAGATACAAAATCATTCAGAGGGTTTTAGAACAATTACTAGGCTAACATAATATAGTGCAAAATGAAATATAATTGTTTAGTAATTGTTTACAATGAAGTTATAACACTGAATGGTTAAGAGAGACCCAAGATACAAAATCATTCAGAGAGTTTTAGAACCATTGAAAATCAAACTTTTTTTTGCCAAACAACATCCACCTCTTAACAATTCAGATGATGTCTGTTAATGAAACTATTAAGAGGTAAACAAACAACTCATTGGTTATTTTCTAACAACTAGTTGTGTACCCGCGCAATGCGGCAGGAGCCATGAATTCTAACGATTTTGAAGTTCCATTGGTTTTATAAGATAAGATTTAACGATGATATAAGTTACACTTGGTCTTTACATATTAATACAATTTGAATAAATAAGAGTTATGGTTCTAATTACAGACTATCGATGACAGTTTAAAATCCAATATATTTAAAATCCAACATATTTAAACAACTTCACAAATGTGTTCGATTTACACCAAGAGCAAAGAACCAAGAATCTTGAGTTCTAAGATAAACACTTAAAATCAATAAAGAAAATTACAAATTTGACAGATCATAAGTCATGAAAAGACCAAAAAAGAAGGGTTTTAGAATGAAATTTCAACTGCTTACCCTCTTTCTTGTCCAGAAACTCAGATTAAGGTTGAATTAATACATGTATATATATATTTCAAAAAAACCCCAAAACATATTAATTAAGAACATATTATACTGTGCAATTTGGACAGCCTAACCCCCAAAATATATAGTATATATATAAATAAATAACTATAAAAGTATAAATCGTAAATATTAAAAATATTTTCACAGTATATATAATATATAATAATATAATTAAGTCAAAAACTATTCAATATTTGACTCATTTCGAAGGTATTAACGAGACGATTATAATGGTGTAACTTGTTAAAATAAAAATATATTTTTTAATCATGTTTTAATTGATATACGATTATGTATGTTAATTTGATAAATGTTTAAAATGAAATATTTAAAAGTAAATGACGTAAAATAAATTAATTAACTATTATATGGATATAAAGTGTAAATTTAAAATTATTTTAAAAAAATTGGTTGTGAGAAGGTGACTGTATGTGAAGGGGTGAATGTATGTGAGGAGATGAGGGGGTGAAAAATGAAGGATAATATAAAGGATATCTTGGTCATTTAGTATTTTAATACTTTAAGACTTTTGTTAAATTTGTTTAATAAGATAGTATAGATATTCTAATTTTTTAGCTAGAAAATCAGTATTATAATTTTTCAA